TTTAGGAATTAAATTATATATAACAAAATAAAGTTAGAATAAAAAAAACCTAATGCTCTGACTAAGTGTTCTTAAGAGGTCAGTCTGCAGTAAATTAGTAAACCTCCAATTCTTACTCTTTCAGTCAATAATTATTGTGGTGCTAAACAAAATGAAAGACTTACTCCTCTGTCTTTTTGAAACAGGTGAATCATACATGGCTTTGGCGAGATGTTACCAGGGTGTTCATCTTCTTGAAACCGAAGAAAAGTGAGCGTATAGCATGGAAAGTTCATTGTTATAATCATTTCAAAGTAATAATGTTAGGTTCTTATTTTTCTAGAGGGATTCACATTCAGTTTTCTTTTCTTTTGGCTAATTTAGAATGCATGTCACAAGTGGTTTGAAGTCAATTATCTCTGTTACATCGAGAAAAACTGTTAGTAGAACAGCTATTTATTTCCAAGTGTTTACATGCTGTTGGTTTATTTGAATTGATTGACAGGTGCGGTGAATCTATTGCAGTGTTAAACGAAGGATTCAAGCATTTAAATCAAGCCACTCATCTTGCAAAAGTAAGTACAGGCAATATCTCTTGTATATAAGCGCTGAGGTTTGAAATAATATACCAGCTGGTGAACATTAGTATATATTTTGCCTCTAGGAAGTTTCGGTTGTAAATTAGAATACTACATCATAATTGGTCATTGAAAGATATACATCAAACACAAGTTAAATATGTTTTTCAGTCATGAGATGAACATTAAAATCTCAGGACATGCATGTAATCGCAAAAGATACTTGTTATAACAAAACCTAGAGCTTTTAGGGGGAGGGGGTTGTCATTCAGAAGAAATGTACATCTTTTTGGAAGCCTTTACCTTTACCTAAATCAATTATTTAAATGATGTATGTATCTTGCTTTTTAGGAATATGACAAAATTAAACCAAAAACCAAGCTTCACTTGGCTGAATCTGCACCTTTTGAAAAGTAAAGTATATTTTTATTTTCCTAGTGTCCATTTCTTGGTCCTGCCTCTAGTCACTCCCGCCGATTACTAAAAATTAAAATTTTGCCCTATTGTTATACAGTCAATTCCCTGCTAACGTGTTACGGAGACCTAAAGTGGGCAGAAACCTTGAACCGTAAACCGACACAGATATAACTTTTTTCTGGTATCAAAGGTGCTCGCACATAGGAGTCTCGACTGTAGGTGATGTTGTCACATAACAGTCTATAAATGTGTTGTTGAACGTGCTTGATATTTTGTAGTGTCTTTGTTTGTTATTTTTTCAGCAAAGTGGTGAAGTATACTTTTTTTGTTTTCTTCTGTAGGATAAAGAAACTATTAAATGAAAAGAAAGCGAAGAGTGAAAGAGAGAACAATTTAATTTATCACCAAAAACAGCCTGAAGTACGTACTAGAAATAGTCAGTGAGAATATATATGAGTTATTGACTAAGTGTCAGTGAGGTCAAAATGGCTGGATATTGACCAAAAACTTTCTTTGCGTGTTTATGGCCCAATATGCAATCGTGGTCTATAAACACGCTGAGAAAGATCGAAGCCAATATCATCTTGACTGAACAAGCTGCTAATAACTGTCTAGTACAGGACACCATTTTCTTGCGGGATCAACAGGCAATCCTGAAAGAGCAAGAAAGCCTTATCTTAACCGCTCTGCATTGCTCATTTAACAATTGTGCTTGGTTTCATTCTCTGTTCTCGTTGCCATTGCTACTGTAGCCTGCGAGCAGGCTCTCGTGCGCTGCGGAACGTGCAAAGAACAAGCTGGAAGAGACGAGCCCGCAAGGGGCCTGACACAGAAAATGATTTTATACTAAAGATCTGCAACTAATTTTCTGTTTTTCGCCATATTTATGCCAGGAGTGCCCTCCTCCCCCGGATCCTAAATGCGTTGTTCACGTGACTGCTCTTGAATTACAAATTGGAGAAGATCTAACACGGTAAGTATCCAACCAAATAGATAATAGATAATTTAAATTCTAATGAAATTAAAAGACTACTTATTACCAAGGAGTGTTTTAAAGACTTGTTTTTTGACAGTTTAACAGCCTCCACATCCCCATATAGCGTTAGTGATTATGTGTATTTTTAGAAACGTGAATTAATAATTTAAGGTCCTAGATTGATACTTTGATCTTAATTCCGCATATGTCTATTCAGTATTTTACATGTGTATATTTCAGTTTTAAAATGTATTTTAATTCTGATCAGTAGTATACACGACCCCAGAAGCTTTGTAGCCTTAACTCTTATCGTGTCGAAATAAAGGTTTTATGTTTATGTTATGTTTAGCCATCGTGGTAAGTTTGAACCAGTAAGAAAAAAATTCAGCCAATAAATAAAATTGTACCTCATATGAAATGTTGCACTTCTGCGAGTTTTGGCGGGCTGTAGAATATGTTCAGAAGGTACTCATTGTGTCAAGAACCTGCCATGGTGTTTCCTAACCTAAGTCTCTGTAATTTATTCGGTAACGTTTACTGCAAGCTCCTACCAATGAGATAGAAAACTGATTTTTTTCCTTTAATAAATTGTCCAATGAGATTTACATGCCTGTTTGTATTCGTAAATATAGGAATTTCGTAATCGTGAGACTAAATGCTGGTCTTTTTGCCAAATCATACCGTCTTTCACTTTAATTAGTTTCTTTTTGGCCAACGTTACAGAACCGTCACAGAGAGCTCAGACGAAAAGCAACCCGAGGGGGAGGGGGAAGAAGGCGCGGCAGATGCAGGTACAAGCTGACAGGAAAATCATATCTTTCAAATCGCATTTTTAATTTTCATTCGGTAGGAAATAATGTATCTAAGGTGTTTTGTATTCAGTCTCTTGAACTCGCTTGACGTAATTTTAAAGGTTGACTTTAGCGTTTCACATTAGGCCTTTACATTTAAAAGTTATTTTAGAATCCTTGTTACTGAAATTTGGTTTTAAAGTTCATGTCTCAGTTGAATTCTTTTTAATATGGACCCGAAAGTCTGTAAAGTTTGCTTCTCCAGTTTTTTTATTTTGTGATTATTAGAAGTCTAGTTTCTTTCCATGCAGTTTTTCAATTAAATTCATGCCCTTAATGATAATTCTTTTTTTCTGAGTGAACCGGAAATCACATGCTTAATAACAGCATTTAGGTGTTAAACATTTTTAAATTATGTATTATTTAAAACGGATATAATTTAGATTAGTTTCAGTTTACTTACGTTCACCGTCTTTTCCATACACACCATTCTGGAGGTTAAAATAACAATTATAAATAAAAATCAAGAAGATAAATGTACAATTCTTTTGATGCAACGACCAGTTATGAATAGATGTTACACACTTGACGATACTGAATGTAATAAACGGCTTGGTAAACAAAGGAAAGGAAAGTTATCAAGATAAAAATTGTGGCGGTTGTCTCGATCGGTTGATATGCGGGCGTGATGTTGTAATGTAAAATAAAACCTCTTACAAACTACGTGTGTGCATTTGGTCGGTTAATGAGACAACGCGTCTGAAATATGAGACGTTAAGGAAAAACTCTTTTCATTCAGTTGATGGTTTAACGCAGTGTGATTATGCGCTATTGAAGTAGACAGACCGCCTAGTCTGACTAATATTCGAGATGTAGTGTTCGAGTG